AAATGTCCTGCAAACACTGAAAGTGTCCTACAAAGTGTCCTAAATTTAGGTGCTTCCCCATTTTTAGGTGAGTTAATTATATAGAAGAGTACCCATACAGCAACAAAAAAAGTGACCAGCCGCGCTTCGCTTGGCTGGGCGCCCCTTCGGCGCCCCCGTGGTTCGCTTCGCTCGCGATATAAAGATAGGATGTACTGGAGTGTTTAGCGCGCGGCTCGCTGGTGAGCTCGGCGCTGGGCCCGCCTCACACCCGCTCACCTTAGTTGGTCCGGAGCGCTATCGCGCTCACTTAGACATTACAAATTGAGTAACGTATCCTTAATGCACCCGAAAAAATGTCCTGCAAGTCATGAATTGGTCCTACAAATAGTCCTAAATTGCAGGACATTTTTTTCGGATGCAGGACCGTTTTTCTGGTTGCATTAATTTCTCCCAGAATTACTAAGGCAGGATCTCTCACAAGTTAGCTTGGTCGTGGAAGGTCGGCTACCCGATGAATAATTAATCTTGATGCTTTGAAGAAAAATTCAAGAATGAGTCTGCTCTACTTGGATTGATGCTTTGTTGCAGAATTACGAAGCGGTAGCTTTGCTGACGACGCTGGACAAAATCTTGGTGAATTTAAAAAGTGGTACAGGGTGCGCCTGTGAAACATGACAGTTTGATTCATTTAGAACACTTTAAGATGAATCAATATTGTCACATTACAGTATGCATTAGTTTTGTCCCCTTCGTGTCTTTCTTCTTTTTTGTATCGTCGACTTGACGGTACGTGTACTAAAAACTAAAAAAAATTGACAGAACCGGAGAAACACATAGAAAAAGGTTTGACACACAGAATATGGGCGAACACATAAAAGATGTGTTCGCCACACATGCTAACGTAACACCACATGCACCATTCAAATAGCACACACATTTTGGTATGGATACACCAAATGTGGGATAATGCACATCACTCGATTCTAGCGAATCGTGTCGGAGAAAAAATTTAGTTTCTACCAATCCAAATGGTTCGTTGATCTCAGCACCCAGCCAGAATATGCGGATTGCAGTACATTCTCGAAAACGCA